TTTTTCAGCTTTATTGAAGTATAATGGACAAACCAAATTATAAGATATCTAAAAAATAAATAAAGTAAAATAAAATTCATATGGAGAGCCTGGCAAGGTAGCTAAGTTAGTTAGAGCATCATCCTAATATACCCAGGTTCCCAGGTCAGGGCACATAAAAGAATCAACCAATGAATGCATAAATATATGGAACACAAATAGATTTTTCTCTCTAAAAAATCAATAAATAAATTTTTTAAAAAATGAAATTCATATGGACTCTCAAGGGATCCTGAATAGCAAAACAACCTTGAAAAAGAACAAAGTTGGAAGTCTCACATTTCATGATTTCAAAATGTACTACAAAGCTACATACAGTATTCAACATAGTTTATGGTACTGGCATAAAGACAGACATATAGAACAATGGAATATGGAGAGCACAGAAATGAAATTTCACATATATGGTTAAAATGATTTTTGACAAAGGTGCCAAGGCTCTTCAATGGAGGAAAGGGCAGGGTTTTCAATAAATAGTGCTGGGGAAACTGGATACCCACATGCAAAAACAAAAGACAAAAAAGATTGGACCCTTACCTTACACCATCTACAAAAAAAAACACTCAAAAAAGATCAAAGACCTGAACATAGAGCTAAAACTGTAAGGCTTCTAGAAGGAAATATAGGGGAAAAGCTTTATGACACCGGACTTGGCAATGATTTCTTAGATATGACACCAAAAGCACAGGCAAAAAAAAGACAAGTTGGTGTTTATCAAGATTAAAGATTTTATTTATTTATTTTTAGAGAGAGGGGAAGGGAAGGAGAAAGAGAGGGAGAGGAAACATCAATGTATGGTTGCCTCTCACGTGGCCCCTACCGGGGACCTGGCCCACAACCCAGGCCTGTGCCCTGACTGGGAATCAAACTGGCATCCCTTAGATTTGCAGGCCAGTGCTCAATCCACTCAGCCACACCAGCCAGGGCAAAATTAAAAACTTTTGAGCATCAAAAGGCACTATCAACAGAATTAAAAAGTAACCCATCAAATGAGAGAAAATATTTAAATTTAAAAAATTTTTATTGATTTGAGAGACAAAATCATCAGTTTGTTATTCCACCTATTTATGCATTCCTGGGTTGCTTCTTTGTGTGTGTGTGTACTTTAAAAAAAAAAATCCTCATCCGAGGATATATTTGTTGATTTTAGAGAGAGAGGAATGGGAAGAGAGGTATATTGATGTGTGACAGAGACATCAACAGGTCATCTCCCTTATGAGCCAGGACCAGGGGATTGAACTTGGATTGAACTTGCAGCCCAAGAACGGAGCTACCTGATCAGGGGTGGCAAACACACAGTATAATATACACATGACGTAGAGCTGCACACCTGAAACCTATATAATTATATTAACCAATGTTTCCCCAATAATTCAATAAAAAAATTTAAAAAGAGACACCATCCAAACTTAATGAAATAAGAAACAGGTATAACTATATTACTTGAAGGTATAACAATAACCAACTTGAGAACTAAAAATACTAATGTATTTTAGGAAACTAAGAAGGAAGGGAAGCAGGGGTTTTAGAAATGTGTTAAATCTTTATTCATCATAGGAGGTCACTTACAAAATGTCTAAATTATGCAAATTAAGAAATAACAGTCCTGCTCAGGTAGCTCAGTTGGTTAGAGCATTACCCTGATACACCAAGGTTGCAGATTGGAGCCCTGGCTGGGCATATGCAGGAATCAATCAATGATGCATACACAAGTAGAATAGCAAATCGATGTTTCTTTCTCTCTCCCTCTTCCTTTCTCTCTCTCAAAAAAAAAAAAAAAAGGAAAAAGAGAAACAACATAGGTATATTATTTAAATATATAGCCTCTTAACTCATTTCCTGATTGTGCCTTTGCCTTCTTCCTTCCTCTCATAGTTTACAGTCTAGCCTCATTGGCTCTCTTGTAGTTCCTTAAACATGTCAGGCATGCTCCTACTTCAGGGTCCTTGTATTTTTGTTCCCTCTGCCTAGAATATGCTTCCCTAAGATATCTTTGTGATTTTCTTATTCTCTTCCTTCTGGTCTTTATTCAAAACTCATCATCTCAGTGAAGATTTCCCTGGCACACCATTCCCTATTCCCACTACCTGCTTTATTTTTTTCCTCTGTAGCACTTCACTTATCACCATATAATCTATAGGCTGTCTTTTATTTATTTACATATTTATTCAAAATTTCACCAGCATTGTGTAAGTAATGACAAGCAGTGACATTTGCCTATTTTAATTTAAAAAAATTTTTTTAGTGTTTAGTTATAGTTGTCCCCATTTCTCTCATTGCTCTCTCCTTCCCTGCTCAGCCCCCATGTTTTTACTCACCTCTATATATACTGGTACAGAGAATAGTTATTTGGCATCTAGGAGGCAGGCACTGGATAAATAGTTGTTAAAAGAATACTTCAAGATAATACTAGAGGGACAACCAAAGAGCAAGCTAGAGGGGAGGTTTTTACTTTTGGGGAACTGAGACTGGGGTGGTTAAGACTGGGCCAGGAATAGCTGTCTTTTCCCATATATGATTGGCTTAAAAAAACTCAAATATTCTGTCAAAGTTTAAACAAATTATTACTACCTCAAAACAGAAAAATGTTTTCGAACTTATGATGGAGGAAAAATGTGAACCCTGAAAACACTACCTATGGGATGCAACTAAAACTGTACTCACAAGTAAATGAATTCCTTAAATGTTTTCATTATTCAACAGGAATAAATAAAAAGAAACAAATAGAACATCCATCTGAAGGAACCAAAAGAAAATAACAATGAAGATATAAAGAGAGATAGAAATAAACATAAAACCAGGAAGGAATCAATTATGAATGAATAGTGATAAATTTGGGTTCTTTGGGGAAAAAAACAGTGAAATATTAAAATGTATAGAAAGCATAATCAAGAGAAACAAGGAGCCCTGGCCATTGTGGCTCTGTAGGTTGGGCGTTGTCCTGCAAAACGAAAGGTTGCTGGTTTTTCCCAGTCCAGGCACATGACTGGGTTGTAGGTTCAGTCCTGGTTAGGGAGCATACGACAGGCAGCCGATCGATGTTTCTCTCTCACATTGACGTTTCTCTCCCTTTCTCCCTCCCTTCCCTTCTCTCTAAAAATAAATAAATATTTTTTAAAAAAGAAAAGAAAAATAAAGAAACAATAGCCCAAATAAATCAAGTCAACAATCAAACCAACATTCCCTAAAAAGGATCTAACCACACATACAAGTGTGATAGCGTTTCTAAAATGTGAAACCTGATGGAAATGAATGATTCTCTAGAAATTAAAGTTATCTTGAGAAGAAACAAGAAAACCTGACCAGGTTGATGACCCTAGATGAAAATTAAAAGCTGTCAGAGAATATATTCAAAAGAGAGGTCCAGTCCAGATGGGTTTTTGGAGAGTTCTTTCATTGCTGTCACTAAATAGTTACATAAATACATAAAAAATTTATCATGGTTTTGTGACATATTTTTTAAACCTTTAAATGTTTGATCCACTGGGAGAGTATCCAATTTAAGGAATGACATGAAAATACCTGTTTGCTGATTCTGTTTTCACATGATTCTGGTTTCCTCACTTCCTTGCCAGTGTCACTCAGGCACCAGCCCATTGACGGCTGACATTTATGAGTGGAAGTCATGTGAGCCAGCCCATAACCCATTTCACAAACGGTCTACAAGGGTCTCGACTGTGACACACTGAAATGGAATTCAAGACTTTGGACTCCCATTTTAACTCTTTCCACACTCCCAAATCTTGCCTATTTATGTAAATATTAGAGAAAAAGCATTATTAATGTTTAAGAATGTCAAATTCAAAACACATAGATTCTCTATCCCCAAGAATTGAAAGATATTTATATCTTTCTAAGTAATTTCTAAGTAATTTCTAAGTAATTTCTTTCTTAGAATTTCTTTACATTCTAAGTAATGTTCATGGCAACATTATTAATGATAGCCAAATAGTGGAAACAACTCACGTGTCCATTGATGGATGAATGGATAAACAAAATGTGATATACATACAGTGGAACATTTTTCAGCCTTAAAAGAAAGGACATTCTAACACGTGCAACAACATGAATGAACCTTGAGGACAATATGCCAAGTGAAATAAGCCAGTCACAAAAGGACAAATATTGTATGATTCCATTTACATGAGGTAGTCAGTCAAAATCATAAGGGACAGAGAATGTAATGGTGGTTACTGAGGTTTGGGGAGAGAGGGGAAGGGGTTTGGGGCATTGTTAGTTAATGGGTATAGAGTTTCAGTTTTACTAGATGAAAAGAGTTTATGTGAATGTACTTAACACTATTGAACTGTACAGTAAAAATAGTAAAAAATGGAAAAATCTATACTATATTTGGTCACAACTGAAAAAACAGCGGGCACATAACCTGAATTACTAACAGGTTACTCCACACAGACCAATGACCCCACTCCAAAGCTTCACCCTCCCCACACCACCCCTGCCAGGGAGTTCACGTAGCCACAATTGCCCATCCCAGCAGCCTCCGACAGGCCTTCGACGGGTGTCCAGAAGTTGGCTCCAAACCTTGGAGGAGAGGCCTGTCTGTGCCCAAGTCTCACCCTCCAATTTCTTTAACTTGGTTTCTTAATATGACCAGTGACTAGCGAGTCTCTTCTATCTCCGCCGCAGGCACCCCTTTAACCCGATCTAAGTGTACAGTTTAAGGTCTTTGTAGCAAATTTAAGAGTTGTGCAGCCCTCACTACAATCCAGTTTAAGCACATTTTCATCAACCACTTAATCTTTCTTAGCTCAGGGATCCTCATCTATAAATGGAGATAAGAGTCTATCCACAGGCCACCAACAAATTTTGCCCGTTACTATTTTACTTGCTTAACCAGGACCTGTTTTTAGATTTCTATCATATCCCACTCGCACCCGGGTCCTAGACCACGTGATACCCGCAAGTGCAGAACTTCCACTCGGGAAAGGGCGGTGGGGCCGCACAGGAGGTAGCTCTCCACACGAGTTCTGCCCACAGCCCCTCCCCAAACCCGACCACCTTCGATCCCGGAATCGAGCCTCTCCAGGCGCCCTGGCTGCGTCCGGCGGCGCGGCTCCGGGCTGAATTGGTGATGCCTGGGAGTCGCGGGCGCCTGCGCAGTGGGGAAGGCCGTGCTCTGCGGAGAGGCTGAGGGAGGTAACTCCAAGAGGGCCGCGGCAGGCTTCTGGCTGTTCTACCCGGCCCGTCGCGCGATGGCGGAGGAGGAGCTGGAGGCTCTGCGGAAGCAAAGGCTGGCCGAGCTGCAGGCCAAGCAAGGGGTGAGCGCGCCCGCGGCCCTTCCGGCCCATCCTCTTGCGGGGCGCCGCCCTCGCCCGAGGCAGAGGGTGCAGCCGCAGGCTAGACGCTGCCGCCGGTGTGGGGCCGGCTGGCGGGCAACCCCGCCGCTGCCTCGGTGTCCGTCCTGGGCCTTTCTCCGTGTCCCGTCGGGTTTCGGGCAGCGTGCCGACCACGTGCTGTCCCGGGTGGGTCCGGCTGGAGTCCTCTCTCCGGCAGTGTTCGACTCGCCCCAGAGGTCGCGCCCGGGCTAGCGTCCGCCCGAAGCAGAACATTTAGCCTGTTTTGACTACTGGTTCCAGCGGAATTGTTTTCTAGAATTCTGACTGCACAGTTAGACCAACATTTGTTGGGGTCTGCCGTGTGAGGTACAGCGGGTTGCATCCAGTCCCAAGTGACAGCCCCGGGGAGGAGCCAGACCCTAAACGCGAATCCGAGAGATAGGATACTCAAGTAATGACTGCGTTGGCGAGAGAGGGAGAGGACTGTGGAAGGGGTAGAACGCAGTAGTCTCCAAGGAAGCGCATTTGAATCAGCATTGCCCCCAATACCCAGCACATTTTTTAACCCCAGAACTTATTCTTGTCTCCTCAAATACATTCTCATTGTACAGGGATTCCCCTCCCTAATGGTTGTGTTCTAAAACATTCCATTAGATTGTGGCTTTAGAAGCTTATCAAAGCATTTTAATAAGTGGAAACCACCCCATTGACTTCTGGAAGGCCCAGCTTTTCTTTCTTTTTTTTTTTTTTATTGTTGTTCAAGTATAATTGTCTTCATCCCCACCCCCAACCACCACTTGGAAGATCCAGCTTTTAATTATTTGGCAATATTTTGATCTCTATCACTGCAGGACCCTATTAGGTATCTGAAACAAAATACTTTCTGTTTTATCCCCTGTGACATTAATTACTTGACTAAGACAAAATTATTTTTTCAGGACCCTGGCGATGCAGCACAACAGGAGGCAAAGCACAGGTATGGGCTGGAGCACTGAAGGGTTGTTTCACCAAATGTTTTTTTAAATGGTTATTTTAATAGTATGGTAATCTAAGTTTTTCTTGGAATAGTGATTTTTCATAAATCACTAGGGTATCTGTTATTAATTTGTTAAATAAATATGTGTAGAATCTCACAGCACTTACTACCTTGTAATTGTATTTACTGGTTTGTTTCTCTGCTAAACTGTGATTGTCTTAGAATGAAGATGATACTAGGATTACCTCCTAGGGATGTTGTGAGGGTTGCATGGGTCCAGTACCTCAAATTTAGTAAATGCTAGGTAAATATTAACTGTTATACTATTCGTGTTTTATCCTAGCACATGGCAAAATACCTTGCCCTTGGCAGGTTTATTGAATGAATAGTTAGTTATCCCATCATGCTACCTTTTTATTTCTGTGATAAAAGAATACATAACAAATTTACTATAACAACCATTTGTAAGTATACAGTTCTGTCATGTTAACTATATTCTCATTATTATGCAACAGATCTCTAGAACTTTTTCATCGCATAAAACTGAAACTGTGCTTATTAATGACTCCTCATTTTTCCCTGCCTCCATCACACTGCCTTTCAACTCAGTCAGTGAATATTTACTGAGCACCTGCTGTAGGTCAGGCACTATGCCACGTCCATAGGAACAGGCAAGTCAGAGAATGTTCCTGCTCATACATGGCTTGTATTCATGGGGTAAGATAGTAAACACCTGGGATAGTGCTAAGAAGAAAGTGAAACTACACGAATGTCATTGATTCCGAGGTGTGTCTTTGCTTATATTTTAACATATCTGAAATTGGGTGGGTTTCATGATCAGTCACTATTGTCCTGGGTTCTGCCAGAGAGGGTTTACTTTTGCTTCTGCCATCACTTGGGTACAGTTCTAATCTGAGACATCTTAAAATTAAGTTCTACGCTTGAGGTTCCCACTCCTTCCTTCCACCCTGGTGGCATGGATTCAGACAGTAAATTTGCAGGACTAAAGCTTGAAGTTGAAATTCTCAAAGGAACTTTTTCCTTCCTTCACTCAGGGCAAGGTTTGATGCATGCACCCTTATTTGCCATCCCTTTTTGCATGGCAAGTTTATTTACTGTTTACTTTGTTGTGGCCATTGCTCTTTGATGCCCCAGCTTTGAGTGTGGGGTCCCCTATTAGACTCCTCATCTAGGCTCTTTTTTTTGTTCTTAGAAGTACACAACACCATGGTCCATCTTATAGTCAATGGCATCTTAGATTCAGTGAAATGGAGTAACAGTTGTTTATGGCAGGGTTGAACTGAAGTACTCAGGTGCAGTAAGGAAATGGACCATGGAAGTGGACTTCAAATTGTGTTCCATGAACCCTACACCTCCTCTGATGGGGGGCGATAGTGGGCATAGCCACCCCCAGTTCCCCCTCAGTTCAGCCAAAGAATTACCTCTTTTGTCTGTGTCAAGTTCCTTGAAGGACTTCACTTAAAAAAATTGCTGCTACTTAAAAAAAGTTTGACACCACTGTGCTGGGAACATGAATTAGTTCCTACTTGGATAGGTGGGAAGGTGCAAAGATAGTTGCAGAGTTATAATTTCACTCCCCCTTCCTACCCCAAAAATAGAATTGTCTTGAAACAATGGGATTTGGTTCTAGCTTCGCCACAATTACTTATATCCCCTTATAGTTTCCCTAGGTCTCAGCTTCTCATCTCTGAGATTACATGGATTAATCAGTCTTAATCTCACTATAGATTTTTAGCATCTCTTACACAGTAGATACTTAGTAAATGTCGGTAATGGTGGCTGAACCAAAACTCCTACGTAAGTTATAAAAATGTGAAGTTGTATCTTTGAACCTTGTGGGTTTATACCCACACATATAAGGCTGGCTTTTGAGATCAAGAGTGGATTCTTACTTATTTTTGAAATTTAATCTTTTCCATTACCGTTTAGTCCCCTTATATCTCTCTCCCCCCAGCAATCACCACACTGTTGTCCATGTCCATGAGTCCTTTTTCCTTGATCCCTCCACCCCCTCACCTCCTCTGTCCACTAGCCATCATCTGCTCTCCAACTACGAGTCTGTGAGTGGACTCCTCTACTGTAATGAGAACTGCTGCCATCCATACAGCACCTACTGTAGCGCAGTCTCTCTGCAGCAACCTTCCATCTTGGGAAATGTATTGAGTGAGTTGCATTTTTGTGTGTTCAATAGGAATGCTGACAGCTTAGTTCTAATTTTGCTTGACTTGTTCTTGTTGTAGAGAAGCAGAAATGAGAAACACTATCTTAGCCCAAGTTCTGGATCAGTCAGCCCGGGCCCGGTGTAAGCATCTTCAGTTTTCTTTATTTCTATAAAATTGGCTTGGGTTAGTTGAATGGTGAGGTCTGAAATTATTGCTGCCTCTAGATGAAATATTTATTTAACTTAAAAACACTTAAAATACAGATACTTATAAGAAATGTGAAGTTTTTAAACCTAAAGGAATGGACTTAAATTATTAAATGAATCGGCTTGGTCTACCAAGGAGATGATCCCCCCAGTACTCATTAGGTAAAATTTATAGTCAACAACTGTTAAGTCAGTTACAAAGTGTTGCTAGTGCTTGACCTCAGTGATAGGAACATGAGGGATTTATTGTATTTGTCTTAGTTAATAATTTTTCATAATTAAAAACCAAAGGAAAATCATGTATTTGTTTTAGTTACAATTTTCATAATAAAAACCAAGAAGAAAACTATGTAGAAAAAAAATTAAATGAACCAGTTGGAATGAACCAGTATCTTCTGTATTGTAACTTGAAGCCCAGTTTAGAAGAGGCAGCCTTAGATGGATACTTATTTTATATGTATCATATGTATATAACTTATTTTCCAGAGAACAGTTATTTGGGTTGGCCAAAAAGTTCATTTGTTTTTCCATAAGATGGCTCTTAGTGGCGCTTAGTTGTCTTTAACTTCATTCCAGTTAGTCTTATTAGATTGTATTGTGACAGCTGTCATATCAAGATGCATATAAAAAAAACTTACCAAGCCCTGGCTGGTGTCGCTCAGTAGGTTGAGCATTGGCCTGCTAACCAAAAGGTTGCTGGTTCAATTCCCAGTCAGGGCACAGGCCTGGGTCTTGGGCCAGGTCCTCAGTTGGGGGTGTGTGAGAGGTGATGGATCACTGTTCTCTCCTCTTTCCCTCTCTTTAAAAATAAATTTTAAAAAGTCTTTTTAAAAAATTTTTAAAAATCCAAATTGGTGAATTTTGGGGTAGCTACTATAATATTGAAGGTGGAAGAAAATATGCAACATTTTCAGCATATTATGCTTTATCATTTCAAGAAAGGCAAAAACACAAAAAAAGATTTTTGCAGTATATGGAGAAGGGGGTGTGACTGATCGAACTTGTCGAAAGTGGTTTGTGAAGTTTCATGCTGGAGGTTTCTCGTTGGATGATGCTCCATGGTCAGGTAGACCAGTTGCAGTTGATAACTATCAGTCAAGACATTACTTGAGAACAATGAATGTTATACCATGCACGAGATAGCCAACATACTCAAAATATCAAAATCAATAAAAGTTATTGGTGAAAATAAAAAAATGTGTTTTATTTAAGGGAAAAAACTAAATGGACTTTCTGATCAACCCAATATATATTTTTAAAAAGAAAGCATGGGGCTTAGACTCTGAGGACCCAAGTTTAATCTTGGCTCTGCCACTACTTCTGTCTGGCCTTGACTGAGATTGACATGGCTAAACTTTAGTTTCTTCATTTTTTTTATCCTCACCCAAGGATATGTTTATTGATTTAAGAGAGAAGGGGAGAAAGAGAGACTGAGGATCAAATCCACAATCTAAGTATGTTCCCAGACCAGGAATTGAACCCTCAGCCTTTTGGTGTACAGGATGATGCTCCAACCAACTGAGCCATCTGGCCAAGGCAGTTTCCTCATTTTTAAGAGGGTAACAGTATCTTCTACCATTCCTACCTTCGTAGTCTCAATACATAAATAAGTCTGTGAAGTGCTTTGGAAATGTTGTTGCTTAATTTTAAATTATAAATGCATTTAGTTTTAACGTCTTTTTGTATTTTTTTCTTTTTAGTAAGTAACTTAGCACTTGTAAAGCCTGAAAAAACTAAAGGAGTAGAGAATTACCTTATACAGATGGCAAGATATGGACAGCTAAGTGGGAAGGTAAGCTTGAGTTAGTTTTACCCGTTGTTACCTACTTTATGAAAACATGTCTTCAAAAGGTCAGTTTTGCTCTGGCTGGGTAGCTCAGTTGATTAGAGCTTCATCCCAATACACCAAGGTTGGGGGTTTGATCCCCAGTCAGGGCACATACAAGAGTGAATCAGTGGGACTTCTGACCAAGATGGAGGCATAGGTAGACACACTGTGCCACCTTGCACAAGCAAAATAGGGACAACAAAAATTTAGAAACAAAATAACCAGTACTGACAGAAAATTGAACTGTATGGAAGTTTGACAACCAAGGAGTTAAAGTAGACACATTCATCCAGGCCAGTAGGAGGGGCAGAGTTGGGGAGCCGGGACAGAGATGGCTCGCAGCAGGGCAGCTGGTAGACCCCAGGTGCGCAAGGCAGCAACGGGTGGACCCAGGGAGGTGGCGGATTGTGCAGGGGCTTGGTGCACAAGGTGGCTTGGGGAACCAGGTAGTCCCACATTTTTGGGCAGATAAATCAGGTGAAACTGGGGAGCGAGACAAACCATGCAACCCAGGGCCCCAGCTCAAGGAAATAAAGCCTCAAACCACTGGTTGAAAACACTTGTGGGGGGTTGGAGTGCAGGGAGAGACTCCCAGCCTCACAGGAGAGTTCATTGGAGAGACCCACAGGGTCCTAGAACGTACACAAACCCACCCACCCAGAAGGAATCAGCACCAGGAGGGCCCAGTTTGCTTGGGGGAAGGGGCGGAAGTGACTGAAATCTGGCAGAGAGCAGAGAAAGCTCCATTGTTTTCTCTTTGACCCTCCCTCACACACAGCATCACAACCCAGTGACTGGGTTGCCCCGCCCTGCTGAACACCTAAGGCTCTGCCCCTAACTATGTAACAGGTGCATCAAGACAAAAAAAGTGGCCCAAACGAAAGAACAGATCAAAGCTCCAGAAAAAATACAACTAAGTGATGAAGAGATAGCCAACCTATCAGATGCACAGTTCAAAACACTGGTGATCAGGATGCTCACAGAATTGGTTGAATTTGGTCGCAAATTAGATGAAAAAATGAAGGCTACAATAAGTGAAATAAAGGAAAATGTACAGGGAACCAATAGTGCTAGGAAGGAAATTGGGACTCAAATTAACAAAATGGATTAGAAGGAAGAAAGAAATATCCAATCAGAAGAGAACGAAGAAATAAGAATTTTAAAAAAATGAGGAGAGACTTAGGAACCTCCAGGACATCTTTAAACATTTCAACATCTGAATTATAGGGGTACCAGGAGAAGAGGAAGAGCAACAAGTGGAAAAGTTATTTGAACAAATAATAAAGGAGAACTTCCCCAATCTGGCAAAGGAAATAGACTTCCAGGAAGTCCAGGAAGCTCAGAGAGTCCCAAAGAAGTTGGACCCAAGGAGGAACACATCAAGGCACATCATAATTACATTAGCCAAGACTAAAAGGAAGGAAAGAATCCTAGAAGCAGCAAGAGATAAGGAGGCAGTTACCTACAAAGGAGTTCCCGTCAGACTGTCGGCTGATTTCTCAAAAGAGACCTTACAGGCAAGAAGGAGCTGGAAAGTAGTATTCCAAGAAGTCATGAAAGGCAAGAACCTACATCCCAGATTGCTCTATCCAGCAAAGCTTTTATTTAGAATGGAAGGGCAGATAAAGTGCTTCTCAGATAAGGTCAAGTTAAAGGAGTTCATTGTCACCAAGCTCTTATGAAATATTAAAGAGGCTTATCTAAGAAAAAGAAGATAAAAAACATGTACAGTAAAATGACAGCAAACTCACAGTTATTAACAACCACATCTAAGACAAAAGCAAAAACAAACTAAGCAAAGAACTAGAACGTGAACAGAACCACAGAAATGGAGATCACATGGAGGGTTAGCAACAGGGGAGTGGGAGGAGGAGGGGGGGGGAAGGTATGGAGAATAAGTAGCAAAAATGGTAGGGAGGAAACAGACAGGGGGAGGGTAAGAATAATATGAGAAATGTAGAAGCTAAAGAACTTATGACACATGGACATGAACTAATGTGGGTGGGAGAGGGTGTGCAGGATGGAGGTGACTGAAGGGGAAAATGGGACAACTGTAATAGCATAATCAATAAAATATATTTAAAACATAAAATAAAAAATAGTCAAAAAAAGAATCAACCAATGCATGCATAAATAAGTGGAACAACAAATCAATGTTTCTGTCTTCCTTGTCTCTCTCTCAAAAAAAAAGTCAATTTCTTCTTCTGGTTACAGAAATCATGTTGGCTATTTCTTGTATTGCTTTTCTTTTTTTAAGATTTTATTTTATTTTTAGAGAGGAAAGGGGGAGAGAGAGAGACATCAATGTGCGGTTGCTGGGGGCCATGGCCTGCAACCTAAGTATGTGCCCTGTCTGGGAATTGAACCTGCGATGTCTGGTTCACAGTCTGCGCTCAATCCACTGAGCTACGCCAGCCAGGGATAATGTTGGCTATTTCAAGGAAGCAATTTTAAAGCAAGAATAATTGTACCAACCATAAATAACTGCCTCTCCGAAAATCCTCTGCTGCTTTTCTTACCTGACATTGTTGTGGAACCTCGCTGGTGTCTGACCAACCAGGGTTTCTCAACAATACATATTAAAAAACTACCAACGTAGGTAGACATTAAGCTTGTTTTGTAAGTGAGGGGGTGCTAAAATTTCTGGTTATTATGTTTGTCGCTGTAATGCCATGATGGGTATATTCTCGTAAGACTGTCCCTAGAGATGCACATGCACCCCACCTGCACGGGGAAGCCCTCTGCTGCCACCACACCCTGCAAGTATCACTCCTGTCCTGAACCCCTTACAGTAAAATGATGTGTGCAAGACTCAGTGACTGGTTCATCTTTTTTGAGTGACTGTCTCCTGCATTTAACCTTTCAGGGTCTCAAGGGAAGAGGTGGTGTGTCTCTCTCACATAGCAGAGGGGTGTAGGTGGTTGTCTTGTCTGCTAGTGGTGGTAAAGGCGTTCTTAAATACCGGTTAACTTGGGATTTTTCTGGATACTTTCCCCCTCTCAGATGACTAGCAGAGTAGTTCTGTTTGGAACTTAAACTAACAGGTATACCTTGGAGATACTGCAAGTTTGGTTCCAGACTGCTGCAGTAAAGCCAGTCATAATCTTTTTTTGCTGGAGGGTCTTACCTTCACTTTGTAAAATATGCAACACCTGTGAAGTGCAATAAAACAAAGCATAGTAAAACAAGGTATGCCTGCAGTTATAACTGGTAGTTTATTTTTTTGTAAGACTTTATTTACTTTTTAGAAGAGAAGGGAGGGAGAAAGAGGGAGACAAACATTAATGTGTGAGAGAAACAATCAGTTGGTTGCCTCTCACAAGCCCCCAGCCCGGGACCTGGCCTGCAACCCAGGCATGTGCCCTGACCAGTAATCAAACTGGTGACTCTTCGGTTCACAGGTCAGCACTCAACTCACTGAACCACACCAGCCAGGGTAGTTATAATAATTGGTAGTTCCAGTCTCTTGTCCTACCTCTTCTTCCCTCTTGACCTCTACCTCCACACCCCAGAAAGACTAAAATGATTCAATCTGCTGAGTCAATTCTTTGCTTAAAAGTACTGTTTTTCTTTCTGGTTATCCTAGGTAACAGAACAAGGTTTAATAGAAATCCTTGAAAAAGTAAGCCAACAAACAGAAAAGAAAACCACAGTTAAAGTAAGTTTCCCCAAATGAGCATGGCAAAAGAAAAATTGATATTTGAAATGTGTTCAGTGTACATATACTGTGTTACAACATGTTTCAGCCCATAGACATTCCCATTGTGTGACACATGGAAGTTTGGGGAGCAAGGCTGCATATATTGAGTGGTCTAATCTTTAAGGCTTTTGTGTCATTCCCTCCCTCCTTAGATCTAAAACACGAAGTTGTTTTAAAGATAGACAAAAATGTCTTGTTGTAGTAGGTAGCATTGTCATGTCTGAGGAAATCTGGGTTGTGCTTTTTTGAACGCATAGTAACACTTGTTTAATTCCCACCCTCCCCTCCAGTTCAACAGGAGAAAAGTGATGGACTCCGATGAAGATGACGACTATTGAATTTAGGGTGCGTAGGCACTGGAACTGCACGGGACAGTTGCAGGACAGATAATACTTGGCAGAAGCTAAGATCTGATTGAATGTTTACCTTGTTTACTGTTTATATACCTTTAGAAAAATAAACTTGTTATGTAAAATAAAAACAATTTGGGCAGAATTATTTTAGTACTGTAGCCGAATGAACAGAAGATCTGTATTTTGCATTTTTTCCTTTCCTACCAAAAACTTTTAAACATGTAGCAGCCTGAATATATCCTTTGAATTGTGACATTAGCGTTAGGTAGCAAAATGGCTATAGCAGAAATAGAAATTGCTAGAGTAGTCTTCAGTAAGAAAACAATAGCATCCAGTAACATTATGGGAGTTAAAACCCATCGATTAAGTTCAATCAACTTTAATATTTCCAAGACATAGATTCTGAAGGCAGGTGAGCTGTTTTTCTTCCTGCGAATAGTACTTACCTTTAATGTAATATTCTTAGCTTTGATTTCATTTATAGTCTGTTTTTCAAAGGCCTTGAGGTATATTAAATTATCTAATGTATATTACCTCTATCCAAAAAACCTCTGTAAGTAGAGTGATACTTCCATTGAAAAAAATTCTCAAAATAGGACAAAGAGTAATAATAGTTCAACAATAATAAACATGTTTGTAAGAGAAATGATACTTCTGATGATTAAAATCTAGTTGATGGTTTAATAACAGTTAAACATTTTGGTAGACATGTTCTGGGTTCTTCAATAAAGTTACAGGTAATTTAAAGCAAATGTTATGTTTTATATTGTGCTTCACTCACCTTTGCTCATAAATTTAATTAGTAAATTTAACTCTGAAATGAGCTGTTCGATATAACTTTTTAGATGTCTTAGTTCTGTGAGACCCAGCTCAAGAGGGAGTTAGAATGTCTAATGTGATGAATAGAATCAGCTGCAGAAAAGTGATGGGAAATGTGGTTTACAGTTCCAATCTCTGCTTTAGCTAGCATACTGCTGATGTATGTTTACTGTACATTTGAGAGTTTACTCTGAGTCTTGAAATTTGTAACTATAGTCAACAAAGAAAGTCAGTGTTGAAATTAAGTGACTAGCATTTTTTTCTTTAATTTTTAAAAAGATTTTATTTACTTTGTTAGAGAGGGGGAGGGAATGAGAAAGGGAGAGAAACATTAATGTGTGAGGTTACCTCTTGCATGCCTTCAACTGGGGACCTGGCCTGCAACCCTGTGCCCTGACTGGGAATTGAACCAGTGACCTTTCAGTTTGGAGGCCAGCGCTCAATCCACTGAGCCACACCAGCCAGGGCAGTGACTAGCATTTCTGAATGAACAAACAAGTGAGTAGAACCATTAAGAATGTCAATATTTTTTTAGAGGAACAAAATTAAATAGTCAAAAGTAAATTTTGATGAAGGATTTTGAAAAACAAAAAGTCCAGTTACAGGTAAATTTTGCTTTAGGTCTCAGTTACATTAAAATGCTGGAGGGAGACTAGACAATTCTCAGCAAGTATTGTTATCACTGTCAACCACCAATGTGAATGTGTTTAAAGATTGCCAAACTCTGGGCTTCAAAGATACTTGAGAATGGAAAGTGCTTCTGTATACAGGGATAGAAATTCTTGAAGACAACAAGGGTGGAATACATTTCGGTCTAGGGAGTGGGGAGTGCTACTTCTAACCTGGCAGTACTTTGAAATCAAAACATTCAAAATTGAAACTTGGGCATTAGCAATTTCTTTTTTAAGAGTTTATTTATTTTTAGAGAGAGGGGAAGGGAAGGAGAGAGTGGGAGAGAAATATCAATGTGTGGTTGCCTCTTATGCATCCCCTGCTGGGGTCCTGGCCTGCAACCTAGGTATGTGCCCTAACTGGGAATCAAACCATGAGCCTTTGGTCCAAGGCCCACGCTCAATCCACTGAGCTACAGCAGCTAGGGTGGCAATTTCTAAGTTGTCTAATCAAGGTTGGTTTTAAGTGGGAAAGCAATTGGAGAAACAAAAGCAAGTGTTTTTAAATATAATTGGGGGAAATCACTTCAGATGGCTACCCTGCTGATTACCAGAATACCTCGAGAGGAAACTCCTCCCTTAAGACTGACAGTCCATTCAGGGTATTCCTATGTCCAGGTGAAGGAACACCAAGCTGGAAACTCCCAATTCAGATGATACTGCCGGTCATTGCCAACTGTGCTTTGTCCCCGGCTCTGATAGTGGAAGCAAATTAGCCCCCTTATTTCTCTGAACTTGTTTCCTCATTTGATGGTTCTGCCTGCTAGGGCAATTGCTAAAATTATATTGTACCATCCAAAAAATTTGGTGGTATCCTTGTGTACTGGAAATGGCTGTTTTGATAAGCTATAGGATATGGTTTCTTAATTAGGATGGTTGAGCACCATAGCAACTTAAAGCAATGAGTTGTTTTGTTCAAAAGTGGAGAAAAGTGTGGGATGCCCTGTCCTGCGGAGCTCTCCTGGTCGCCGCAGATGAGAATGAGTCGTCCCAGACACAATCTTGTTCCAGCTGGAAAAGGGGTGGTGATTGCCTCTAGTGGAGAATACCCTGAGCCATTCTCCAAAACAGCTTTTATAGGGATAGGTATGTACAGGGGTATACAGCATGCATGTACAGCTCATCAATCAATGCCCAAAGGCTACAGTTAATAGAAAACAGACAGTATCTATAAATAGCAATTGAAGGAACACAGAGATCTGCCTTGGGTTAGTGTCTGTTAGATATGCTGACCCCAGCTAGTCGTTAAGGTCTGTTTCATGAGATAAGGAGTTTACTCCTTACACTTACCTGGTTAATACCAACAGGGCTATACAGAGCAAAGCAGGCTTCAAAGGGTATGATGCATTCTTCAGGCCAGATTTCCCACGGGAACCCTCGGAGCTAGCATCGGGTCATGCCTGCCTCCTGCATTCCCAGCGCTGTGGTCGAGATTCACAGGTCTCTCTCAAGGCCTTGCTCGTGCGGGGCTACAGTCTCCAATGCCACACAAAGTGGTCCCCAGCAGAAAAGGATGAAAATGAATTAAATTTGCAAAGCAACAACACATTTCCTTTGTGGGCAGGCTAAGAAGCCGTAATATATTCATTTTTCTTCTGATTATAAGTGAAACTTGTGGGCCCTAGGCACCATGTCTAATGTATTGTCAGGATAGACGGGTAATGAATGATGTGCTCTGAATGACCAGTTTACGTTTCAGTCATAGTCATACTTATAACTGAAAAACAAAATGTATATCCATCCAGTGGGGGGAGATTTTTCCACACACACAAAGCACCGGCTCATAGCAGAGGTTTTGAAACACATATTATCTTCATAGCAAGCACTTACCAGTAACTTAAAAAAAAGTACACCATGACATGCTCAAGAATCATAAAGTTTACTGTTTATTTTCCATCGTTTGGCACATACCCAAGGCACATTAGAAAATTAGAAATCATAAATTACTTTGTAGAAAAATAATCAGCCCCTCCCTTCTTTACATACACAAGTATTTCTAAGAACATGCTCTAAGCCATTTCCCTATTACAAAGTTATTTGAAAATGTACTCAGGACAAACCCATGTTTGTGGATCTAGACCAATTAACATAAAAAATAAGTATAATTTATAGAAATTCATAAAAATGAATAAATGGCATTAAATTCTAACTCAAAGTTACTTTGACCTGGTTTGTGCTGTAAGTTTTGAATCTGAATTAAAAGACTAAGAAAAGATGTGCCAAATCTACCTTCTGTTACCACCATCCTCAGATGTGACATTTAAGGGAAGGCTCTTAATGGAAAGGGTGTTCCTAAAGACACTGCTACAGGTGCACATGTGCAGTGATCGAATATCTGTATGTACTTTTTGTTAGAAAAATTATACCCACCTTTCCCCACATACACAGTGTCAAACAGGCCATATATGTCCTTTTCACTAAAATGAACATCAGAATGGCATTTAGGCATCTTTGGGTTCAAGTGTTGCTTTGCAAAGGAACATTTTCCAGGTCCTATTTTCTTCATTCAAATGTGACATTTCTGCCTGGCCTCTCGAGTACCATAAAACCTAAACTGCTTCCCTTCAGCTCATCCCACATGGTGGAATTGTTTTAGCTTTAATTTATGTCACAAAGGTTTAGCACCTTTCAGCAGGAGGAGATCAGAATCTAGTGATGAAACCTCTCACTGTAACCAAGGAACCCTAATACTTAAGAAGAAACAGCCCTGGCTGGGTAGTTCAGTTGGTTAGAGCATCCCGATATGCCAAGGTGGTGCATTTGATCCCTGGTCAGGGCACATGTAAGAATCAACGAATGAAAGCATAAATAGATGGAACAACAAATCCAAGTTCCTCCAAATCAATTTAAAATTTTTTTAAAAAGAATCATACACCTCAGTCTTAAGGAACTGGACACCACTGGAATTTTTGTCTAGTCCTTTGCAAGCATATTCATTAGCTCTGAAGAGGAAAGAGATGGTGATCATTTTCTTTGTTGTATTCTTCCAGCCACGGAAAAGCTTTCAGGAACTTTCTGCTTTCTCTCAAGCCAAACAGAAAGTACATTTAGTTCTAAGCTGTATTTGCGCTCGGCACCTTCTTGTTAAGGACTCATTTCTTGGCAGCCAAATTAATTCCATATTATTGTTAAGACTGGGAAATACTAGCCTCTTGGGGAATGGGGAGGTTGCTGGCAGTCTCTGGGCCCTTCAGTACAACTGCATCGCTGACTGTGTGTCTGCGAAGCATCCGCCTGTTTCCAGGAACGGTTTGTTTCTGTCCGTGCCTCTCGGGCCCGTCACCGTCTCCTCTGTCAGCAGCCTGAGATCTGTTCTGGTCTGACAGGTTCTTCTGTTGCTGTGTGACTTCTTGCCTCCCTGGCTAAAGAGAAGGCACAATTCAAACAGTTCACCAGTGCACAGGACTCCTAACCACCACCTTGGCAGTAACAGCCACTCTTGAGTGCTGGTGTGCCATCCACTGTGCTCAGTACTTTCCAGACATAATTTCAACTCGAGCATCCCAGTGGCAGTAGTCTGACATGTATGCACTACATGTGTCAGACACAGCATACATGTGTTTTCACATTTAATCTAGCAAGTGTGTACCTTGTTATCCCCATTCTACAGCTGAGGGAACAGGATGAGCAAAGTTAAG